ATGCATTGGTATGTTTTTTTTGCAACTTCTGATTAATTATTTAGTAAGTAATTTCCACGAATTAGCTCTTGCTGAGGTAATTGATTGTATTTTTATTTGTCATATTTTGGATAAGATGCATATTTTGAGCAAAAAAATGTTTTTATACATTTCGACTTCAAAAACACAAAAAGTGGAGTTTGGAGGGTGTACAGCGTACATTCATAGCCACATCGGTATAAGTTAGGTTTATTGAAAATATAATAAAATATATTCTATATTATCAATAGTTAGATTAAGGGATGGGTCAAAATATCCAACGTTCAAAATACTTAAAATTAAAAACTGAGGAAGTGAGAAAAGCCTTGTCAGACTACAATATAAATAACTTAATTTTATATTATTGTGATTGAAGTAATTCATTTCAATATTATGCATTTTATTACTAGAGTAAATTAAATTAATCTTTACAAAAAAAAAAAATGCATTAGAAAAGTCTTCATTTGTATAGTGTATACAATATAATAAATCAATAATATACTCTGAGTCTCAAGTACTCACAAATATTTTTAAAATACAACAAACTAACTAAAATCATTATTCTTGATTTTAACATTATTTTTTATTTCAAATATCTCACGGTTCAAATTTTAAATAGCTTTTCTATATCTGTGTAGATTATAATTAGCAAAAAATAAAGTATCAATCATAAATTGATCATAGGTAAGTATTAATAAACTATGTCTAGTATTATTTAACTATACATATTATAAACATTTATATAAATTGTTGGTGCACAGGTTAGGTTAGGATGATTATCAGTATCAATTATTTTGTACATGATCAGTGTAAAATTTGAAAGTTCAAAGTAATTTTATTTAGAAATTTCAAGGATATTAATGATACATGCAATTTTATTGATTATATAAATATCTAATTAACTTGTTTGTAGGGTTTTAATCATAGACATATATTAATAAGATATATGGTTATCACTTGTATGTCATCAACATTTTACAAGCTGTATAGTTGAAGTTACAAAATTATGACACACTTTTCTGGAAGAATACAACACACAAGTACAAATGAATTTTTTTTTTAAATTATAAACTTATAAAATAGAGTAAGATTAATAGTAATTAATTTATATGATATAAAATGTCAGTACAAATACTTTCTTAAAATCTACTTATGTAAAAAAATGTAAACAATTATGATTAGTTAACTGAATAATGCATACAAATAATATGTTTACAAATCCGAATAACATTTTAAAAATGAACACCTGCCGCATAAATGTATTTTATACAAATAAAGAAACCATACTTAGGTAGGTAAGTGACATAATTATTTTCATCCTGAAATTTGGGCAGTCGATTACACATTACTACTAGTAGTATTAAAAATATTCATCAATTAATAAGAATGAAAATATAACTTTAGTTAGGTAAAATTGTAATTTATATTCTAAACCAATTAATAACTAATATAAACTTGACACTATCTTAATATTAAAATAGTTTTAATTTAAATTTTAAAGTCAGTTTATAACCATGAAACTTATAATTAAATAAAAACCAATAATAACAATGTTGATATACAGAAATAACTGTTTTATTAATACATCAATAAATCTTAACTAATGCAAAGAAAAACTATAAAAATGTTAAAAAAAWTATAGTTTTAAGTGGCCGCATATGCTGCCATTCACTTGCGCTAGAAAACACGTTCATGAAAACCTGAAGTAGCAGATGTAGACGTCCCTTGACTTGGAACGGTTGACGCTGGTCGCATAGCAGATGACTGGTGATTGTTGAGTCTGCGTGGAGCCAAATATTCAAAATTACTTTGTGTTTGTTGAGACAACATCTTAGATAGATCACATGGCATAGGATCTGTCCAGAAGAAGTCATGGTTTAAAGCTGAATCGGCATCAAATCTCTTGGCTGGATCTAATACCAAAAGTTTATCTAATAGATCACAACCCATTGGATCACGTACATAAGGCTTTAATCGTTCCTTCACCTACAAATTAAATAATTAAGTAAACATTTTAAAAAAAATMGGTATATTTGAATAGCAACCTTTCTTTTTTGTCCTTTGACTAATTCTAATTGATTGTATAGATCTAAAGATTCAACTTTAGGCCATACTTCTGGCATTATTGAACCACAAAGTTGGGATATCAAAGTTAATTGTTGTTGCTCAGAATTACCCTGCATAATTGGACWACGAGTCCACATTTCAGCCATAATACACCCAGCTCCCCATAAGTCAACAGGTGGACCATAATTTCGATCACCGAGCAGCAACTCGGGAGGTCGATACCATAATGTTACAACTCGATTCGTATATCTAAAACATTATTATTTATCTAAATGGTTAGGTATAATGATTAATTAAGAGTTAAGAGGAAACCTTACCTTTATGTGTTGTCTCCGTCGTACAAGTGCGTAACATAGCAAATTGTACGCTCAGCAGATCACGTATATCTCCGATAATTTAAAATTTAGAGTGAATTGACCTATTATGAAAATTAAAGACAAGATTATTATCTAGATCATGACATGGGCTTTTTATTAAATTTTGATTTTAAAGTAAGTTTTGAGCATTTTAAAATTGTAAATTGTTTGTATATCTAAAAATGCTCATAATTCGCTTTGAAATTAAAATATAATACAAAGCCCATGAGATGCCTTAGATAATAATCTTGCCTTTAATTTTTATAGTAGGTCAATTCCCTCTACATTTTAAACTAACGGAGATAAACGTGATCTGCTGAGCGTAAAATTTGGTATGCTACATACTTGTACGACGGAGACAACATATGCGAGTATGGCGTCCTCTTAATAATATTAATTATTGTTATTGTTCATTTATAGACATGGATACATTTTTTTAATCATTTCATTACCATTAAATTATTATAAATTATTAAACTTTAAAACACTTAAAAATTACTTATTGTAATAGGAATGTATTAACATATTATACTATTTTTTTTAAAGTTAAAAGAGTGCTTATATAATTCAATTGAACAATAATAATATTGTGTTATATTATAATGATATCGGTCTAGCTTAACTCTTCCATTGCCATTTACGCATGAAGCAAATGATAATAGTTAATTTATAGTATTTTTAAAAACAAATAAAACAATTTAAAACTTAAAACAGTATGATTATTTCAAAGGAAATTTCATTTCCTTTTAATTTAAGTTTTTATTTAGGTAAACCAAAATATTATTACTTTAGCAAGCAACTTTTAATACAAATGCAAATTAAAAAAACAATTTTTGTTTTTGCTAATAATTAATATATTATGGAATTCATTGAATAGGTTTAAAAAAAAGCTATCTCCTAATAAACGGTCTACCAATAAATGTGGACTACTCCAGTGATTTTAAGTAAATTTATTTTCAATGAAAAAAAATATATTTTATTTTAATTTATTAAATTAAACAAAATGAGAAAATAGATTATAAAAGAATATAATATGTATGCATTTTAGGAATAAAAATAATTTTATATTTTTTAAGAAAGAATTAAAAATATTGCCATTTTTATTTGGACCTCGCCACCAATACTCAGCTAAGTACCTCTTTAATTAGTTTTCAGTCGTAACACAGATTTTCTTTATATTTAATTAATAGTCCTGATTTTATCGATGATAGACACTGGGTAATATAAAGATAAAATGGTATGAAATACTAATTTGAGCCTTTCTCTATAGCAGAACACAAAACTTTACTAATATTTATAGTTCAGTAGTACATAAAACATTGGTAGATCACATAATGGGAGATAGCCGAAAAAAGAAAAGAAAATATTTAGCTTGGTAGTCCATTATTATAAGTGCTTGGCAATAGAAATGTAAAGATAATTATCTTTAAATTTAAAAAAACTTTCTTTTTTTGAATTAATTTAACATGATATTACCTATTGGGTTGGCCATTTTTCTGAGCACTGAACGCTCTAGCCAGACCAAAATCAGCTAATTTTAATGTTCCAGTTTTTGT